CCCCTCCCCCACCCCCCCCCCCCCCCCCCCCGGACTGTTTTCCCCCCCCCCCCCCTCCTCTCTCTCATTCCATCCCCTCAGCTTGATGACTTTTCCATGAAAGGCTTTTTCATTAATCCTACCTCAGGGAACCAGTGCTCTCCAACCTCACACACACACTCACACACACACACACACACACACACACACACACACACACACACTCAGACCTCCCTCCACGGGTCACTTTGATGTATCAACACAGTTGCAGACTAAACACAAAATTAGGTTCCACTATTTTATGCCCCCTAAAATGCAACAACGTACACAAAGGAAGGTACAAAACACACACACACACATCAAAACACACACACACACACACACACACACATCATTAATTAGTGTGTATAAATAAACAGTAGCAGGGAAAGGGAAGAGGGTGCAGTAAAAACCAACCACAGACTTCACTCTTTGTGTGTTTTATGTCCCCCCACTGCTGTGTGTGTGTGTGTGTGTGTGTGTGTGTGTGTGTGTGTGTGTGTGTGCGTTCATTTGAGATGTTTCAACATCAGTTACTCTGGAACTGCGTTGCGTTACCTTCCAACTTCAAACCTAAAAATACATTTCCTGCTTTTGTTGAGCACAGTTTGCTGCTTTATATTCAGAGTCAAACCTACAGTATGTGATGTGAACAACAAGTACACACACACACACACACACACACACACACTCAGAAACACACACACTCACAAACACACACACTCTAAACTTATCCTTCTTGCGTCTCTTTCCAAAACTCTCAAACTGTCTACGTGCCAGGGTGTGTGTGTGTGTGTGTGTGTGTGTGTGTGTGACACAGACAGAGTGATAGGGTGTGTGTGTGTGTGTGTGATAGGGTGTGTGTGTGTGATATCTGATGTCAGCTGTCACATCCCAGTCGGTCTGGGCCCATAATAAGAGACAATAATAACAACTCATTAAAACTGAGGGCAGGAACTGTGGAGCTCATCGACTCATCAAATTAACCTTTGAACACTTCATACACACACACATGCCACACACTCACACACACACTCACACACTCACAGGTGTGCACTCCCCCCCCCCACACACAGGTGCTGCTGCTGCTGCTGCTTCCCACAGTTAGTGACTACACAATCTTCCGCTCCGTCTTTTTTGTCTCTTTCTCCATCTTCACCCCCCCCCCCCCCCCCGCCCCCCCCGCGAGCGGGTGGGGTGGGTCCTTTCTGCTGGGTAATTGATGAATTATATGCAATATGCAAATGAGGCGCCATTAATCTCCTGACTGACAGCTTCGTTTATGGGGCCTTAATGACGGCTGGATTAGATTCTAATTAAAATCTGCTCAAAGACGCCCCACGCTAGGAAGATGCTGCTGCTGCTGCTGCTGCTGGTGCTGCTGCTGCTGCTGCTTCTGCTGCTGCTGTTGCTGCTGCTGTTACTGCTGCTGCTGCTGTTACTGCTGCTGCTGCTGCTGTTACTGCTGCTGCTGCTGTTACTGCTGCTGCTGATGCTGCTGCTGCTGGTGCTGCTGCTGCTGCTGCTTCTGCTGCTGCTGTTGCTGCTGCTGCTGATGCTGCTGCTGATGCTGCTGCTGATGCTGCTGCTGATGCTGCTGCTGTTGCTGGTACTGCTGCTGCTGCTGCTGCTGATGCTGCTGCTGCTGCTGTTACTGCTGCTGCTGCTGCTGCTGTTGTTACTGCTGCTGCTGCTGCTGTTACTGCTGCTGCTGTTACTGCTGCTGCTGATGCTGCTGCTGTTACTGCTGCTGCTGCTGCTGTTACTGCTGCTGCTGATGCTGCTGCTGTTACTGCTGCTGCTGTTACTGCTGCTGCTGTTACTGCTGCTGCTGCTGTTACTGCTGCTGCTGATGCTGCTGCTGCTGCTGCTGCTGGTCGGGTGTCGCCCACTTTTTCCCCTCTTTCTCACCCCTTTTTTTTCCCCCCGTGGTCGTCTGGCCTCTGGTCGTCTACACCTCCTCTCATCTTTCCTGCGACTTCCTGTTCATGTACATTTTCTTTCTGTTTTTTTTGTGTGTGTTCTGTCACACCTTTCTTCATCGCTCTTTACACACACACACACATAACAGGCTGATGTTACTGAATGTAAGGCTGCCATGAGAGGTGACGAGCTGTGCTGGTTTTCATTAGTCCTGATGTGGCCCGTGTCATTTCCCCCGTCAGAACATTCACACTGTTTAGTCAGAGCCAAAGTGATGTCTGACACCGTTCTGCTCAGGATTGATTGAGCATGCCTGGCCCAGTCCAACCCTGTGAGTCCTCTCCTGGTCACCCTCGGCCTTTATTGAGAAATAGCGACACGGTGGTGGGGAGAAGGGGAGCGGACGGGCCCGACGAGAGGAGAGGTTGGAGGGAGGGTGGTGGGGTGAGAGCAGGGGAGGGGGCGAGGGAACACATTTAATAAGCAAACAAATGAATGAGTAAGCTGAACAGTAATGAGGTGTTTTATTGATGCCATAGGGAAACTCCTTTTTTTGCTTGCTCGTATTCACAGGGGGGGCAGCAGATTTGCAGAACAGCAGCACCTTCTCGGAACCAGTTTGTTTTTTTTCCTCGTTGATATTTCGCCAGTTTTACAGACAGGAGGACAGTCTCTCTCTAAGACCACCAGGCCACCCATCACCGTCTCAGTGCGAGGGGCCGACGGGGGACCCAGGGAGTCCGGGGTTAAAGAGCCTGATGACTAACGGGAGACTCTTGTGTTTTTTGTTTTTTTTGCTCACAGTTCCAGACCAGGACGACCGCCCAAGAGGCTGCAGAGTGTGACAGAGGGCGGGGCCCACCACATGCTGTCCCACAGTGGTCTCATGCACGCTGGGATCATGCCCCCTGCAGGTGACCACCCAGGCTTCCCCCCATACTGTAATGAACACACACTACACGTGTACTGTAATCCCATGAGGTTCATGTTGTTAAAGAAGCAAAATCACACAAAAACCAACAATAATAATAATATCAATACAATAACAACACATTCAATACAATAAAATAATGTTTTGTATTTTAATTTGTAAGTAATCAGGCAGCTGGAGAAGGAAGTTTAATAATGAAAATATTTGCATTTCTTTTACTTTTTTAAAACCACTTTTTAATTTAATTTACTTTTTAAAGTGATTTCCTTTTCTCTCCAACCCTAAATTTAATTCATAACTTTCTTTCAATCATAACATAATCTTGGAATCAATAGTTTATTCATCTTTCTGATCTGCACATTTCTAGCTGTCGTTCATGATGATTATTAGATATGTATTTTTAACTTCGTAATATTTCTGTTACTATTTTAAGATAAAATGCTTTAACATAAATAATTAAGTATTTTTTACCCATTAAATGCAAAACAAATACATACATGTGTTTGACAAATTGTCCAACTTTACGCTGTGTAGTTCCCTAAGCAGGACATGATTGAAGGCAGCGTTTTCAGCGTTTTCAGTCATAAACTCTCAGCAATTTGTCCTTAACCTGATAATAACGCCATTAGAGGCATTTCCATTTCTGCATCAAATAATAACACAGGTTTTGGCACAATCAGAACGACCCGCGAGTGTTGATTATTAAAATTAGCATAAATACTGCTGACACAGGAGAGGCGGCGAGGTGAGCTGACACTGTACGGAGACAAAGTCCTCAGTATCGCTGGGCGAAGACCACGTTTAATCACGTTTGAACTGTTTCTGTATTTGGTCGGTTCACGAAGACAAAAAAAAACGTTGTAATTTGTAACACAACGTACTGTTCATCTAACTGATAGTTTAGAGCGGGATCAGCAGTACAGTTGACCTTGAAGGGCTGGTTGTCACTGGAAGACTGTGTAGAACAGTGGTCCCCAACCCCCGGTCCACGGACCACTACCAGTCCATAGGTCATTTGGTACCGGGCCGCAGTGGGTTACAATAAAAAAATATACTTCATTTTGCCTAATTCAAAGAAAGTCCAGTCATATCCATTTACTTTCTTTATTTAATTTTATCTGGCAAAAGATAATCTAATAATAATCTTTAATTTAAACATTTAATGATTATTGTTTGATTGATTATAAAAAACTTTTAATTTCTCAGGTTAAGAAACTCTGCTGCATGGACTTTACTAAATTATTTTTAAACTCCCAGAAGGCCACACAAAACGGCTTGGTGGGCCGCATTCGGCCCCCGGGCCTTGAGTTTGTGTGGTTTAGAGCATTGTTTCCCAAAGACTGGGTCGTGACCCTAAGGTGGGTCACAAGATATTTATCATGTTTCCCAAGAGTTTACAACTAGTGTCCATTGACTTGGGTCATAGATACAGTATAGTCTTCATCAAAAATCTCAAATCTTCATTTTATTCAAATGCATATTTTGTTATTGTGTCCTGATTCCCTTTGTGTAATTTGGCTTATGTAGGACAACAGTGTTGCTTGTTGTCACCATAGTGCATGTGTGTGTGTGTGTGTGTGTGTCCGAGTGCATCACAGACCAGAGGAAAAGAGGGAGAAAAGTAATTGTTGGCACCTCAGCCACTCTCAAAGTTGCCCTTGGCTTTGTGCTCTTCACTGCAACCTGATCTTTTCATTCTCCGCCTCAAAAGAAGCCATTTTCTATTAGCCTCCACTTCCTCTCACTGTTCAAAGGTGTTTGAGTTTGAGTGTGTGTGCGTCGGCGTGTGTGCGAGCGTTCAAGAGCATCTTTCTCAGTGGGAAAAAGAGGCTTTTTCCACCAAAGGAGAGGGCACGGCGGCAATGTCAGCGCCACTGATTAGAACTGGCCACATGAGAGGATGGAAGGAGACAGAGGGGGGAGGGGGGGGGGGGAGAGTGAGGGAGGACATTTGAGCGTAAAAGGCAGAGAGAAATCTTTGATGTCATCCTCCTCAACTCTCTCTTCCTTGCCCTTGCGCACTCACTGGCACACACACACACCCACACAGACACACACACACGAGCGCGCAACAATCTGGCTTATGTCCCGCTGTGATGCTGACATTTGGAAAGGTAAAGTAAGGAGAGGCGATGGGAGCAGGGAGCAGTGAGGAGACGCGGAGGAGATGAGAATAAAGGAATAATTTGTGACGGTGACGGTGGTGGATGTAGAAAATGAAAATAAAAACACGGAGCTGCGGAGTTTGTTTTAAATGTTTACATGTATCCAGGTTGAGGAAATGAAGACTTAAGTGTTGTTTGTCTTTGCCTCAGTGCTGTTTGCAGAGCAGCGTGGTTTGTTCTGACTTTAATAATACTCTGCGTCACACATATTTCATTGTCTTTGTTATGAGATGGAGCTTCGGGGGTCACGCCGCGGGTCAAACCACGCCGCTGAGGCTCAGGACGCAAATTGGAAATGCGACTCTGACCTGCCGCTGCACTGTTGTCACTCTCTATTCCATGTCACCCAGAGGAGCACAACCTCCATTAATACTGTAGACAAAATATAGCTCAACTTTTTTCTTTTTTTTTATCTCGTGTTTTTAATTTGTTCTGATAACGAAGCACTTTGAAAAGTGAAAAGTGGAGTTTCTGCCTGACTCTGTGTGTGTGTGTGTGTGTGTGTGGGAGAGATAAATGTCCAGACCAATCACAGCTGACTCCCTGGAACAGACCTCAGTCCACAGTGCAGCGGACAGCGGTCCAGTCAGAATGAATGGCTGACCTCCGTCTTCCCATGACAACCTCCTGCCTACCCACGGCTCTAATCCTCCATCATCGATCTTCCTATTGATCACTCCTTTTTTTCCATCCTTTTTCTTACTAATTTCTTTCCTTTTTTTCTCCCTCTCCGCCCTCTCTCTCTCTCTCTCTCCCTCTCTCCCCCTCCCTCCCTCAGATCTCTCCGTCACAGCCAAGAAGATCAAGCTGGAAGCGATGGCCAGTTACCACAGCAACCAGCAACATGGCGGCCCAAACGGAGACAACAGTGACCACAATCATGGACTGGGTGAGTCCATCCCTCCATCCATCTGTCAGTTCACACACACACACACACACACACAGATACACACTTTCATGTCTTTGAGCCATTTAAAACCAGGAAATGACATCATGTTGTCCTCTTGTGTGACTTCAAACAACACAAAGAACAAAAGACTTTTGCCTGGTGTTATTTCAGCTGTTTGTCTTCTATATATTCAAATATACATTAGAAAAAAAATAGATTGTTTTCATACATACGTATATAAATAAATATATGTATGAAGATTTTGGGTTTAGATTGTTTTCATACATACATATATAAATATATGTATGAAGATTTTGGGTTTTTTTTTAATCGTCACTTCCAAAGATTTTTTCTTGTTCTTGAAAGAAAGTTCTGGATTCGATCTCGACTTCTTCTTCTGCTCACTTGTGGATTTAATGAGACTCAGGAAAACAAATAAAGATCTCAGTTAGTCAGAGCAGCTGTGGAGTCTGCAGATCAGTCGGACATATTAGTCACCACAGAGAGACTAAACCAGGCCTATTACTCATTTACAACACGGGCTTTTGTTTTTGAGTAATATTAGACCAATATTTACAGGAAGGACGTTGAGTAAGCAGCCGTGTTCCCAGTTACAGTTAACGGTAAAGCAACAGTCAAAACTAATTATCTCTCTGGGTTCAACAATTCTACTGCTGCCCCCCCTCGCCTCCTAAAAAAACAAAAAAACATTTAACCACTCTTGCTGTGTTTAGCAATCATGTTCTGCCTCCTGTTATGAAACCTGGCCCCTCGCTGCCTCCACAGCAGCCAGTGAGAGTGGAGCAGCGGTGGACGCAGGCAGGGATGACGGAGAGATGAATAAGACCAGACGCTGAGACCAAATCAATAGTCTTCTCTCTAATTCACTATGCTGAATGCAAACGACAAACGCCGGACAATCGATGGCCGGACGCACACGCACACACACACGCGCACGTGCGCACATCATGTAGGCGGGTCGTTTGCGTGTGCTGTACACACACACACACAGAAGCACAAACACATATACTGCACCTCCCCCTCCGTTATCGACAGGTTAAAGCGACATCAGTGTGTTTGGACAGATGACAGGGCTCACGGAGCTCTGTGTGGAATACACTATCAACCCCGGGGTGTGCTCAACATGTGGAGCGCACCCCGGGACCGCAGGACGTGGGGACAGAAAGTGAGACGCTCTCCATACCAGTGTGTGTGTGTGTGTGTGTGTGTGTGTGTGTGTGTGTGTGTGTGTGTGACGTCCACACACTCCGCGGTCTTAAGCATTGTTTACCATCGTGTACGCTCTGTTACGACTGCCAGCATCTGTGCACAGTTTGGTGGCGTGATTACCACCAGCCATTATAAACCTGTAAAGCTTAATCACTGTTAATGACAGAGTCAAGTGGAAACACACACACACACACACTCATAGCACATATACAGTCACACACATAGACATAGGCGCAGTGTATGTGTGTGTGTGTTTTTTTTTTTTTTCACACTGCCACCCACGGCCTTATGGGAAGGATAGACCCCTACCAGATCTTTAACCACTACAAAGGCTGTCTCTGATTACACACACACACACACACACTCACACAAACAGGCTCACAAATGCTGAGTGCGACACCTTATGAGCTAAAGAAGAGCGGGGAGCGGCCATTTTTGCGTTTAACGAGATCTTCTGGGAAATTGACAGTAACTGTTTGTTTACAGTAATGGTTTGTTTGGATAAACATGAGAGCGGCACTTTGACTTTGGATGTTTTCTTTTAATGAAACATAAGCGAGAGTGATGCGAGGGCATGGGAAGTAAGAGAAGAAAAAAAAAACAAAATTAAGAAGAAGGAGTGTGAATGAGAATGAAATTAAGAAGCGGCAGAGGGTGTGTGTGTGTGTGTGTGTGTGTGTGTGTGTGTGTGTGGGACCAAAACAGTGTTGGTTTCTTACCAAGCCTTAATATTTGGACTTGGCTGCCGCTCGATTGTCGGAGCATCTGGTTATTTAGCTCCATTCACACAGATCTTTTGTTTGGATTGGTTTCTGCTCTGGGCAAGTGAGAGACTAATCTGCCAAATGCACAAAGCCCTGCACATATGTCCAGCGAGCCCGACTCATAAAGTCAACGCCTCACTCTTTATTTCTCACTTTGCCTTTTTTTTCCTCTCTCTCTCATTTTTTTGTTTCTTTTCCCACTGC